TTTTACATTTAGCCCTGCTTGCCCGAAGCAGGGCCAAATGTAGAAATAGAACAGAACTACCCACCCAGTGGCTGTGCTGCCCCTCTACTCCCTGCTGCCCCAAAGCCAGGCCTCGATGGCCTTGTGGGAAATCCGGCCCTGCCGGCGACACCTAAAAATTTGGTATTTTCCCATCACATGACAGGGGTTTTACCCCTTTCCCTTTTCCCCCGATTGGCCCAAGCCCAGGTTCTCTTTAAGTTACCTTAAATTGCAGCACGGCTTCTGTAGCCATGTTCTTTATTATACGTTGCATTGTGTTTTTTTTAAAAAGCATTTCCGTGTGCTTAACTGACCCGACGTCGCCAAGGCAACAGCTATCCGCTTGTCAGCCATGTCGGTCTGCGGGGCCGACGTCTATAAGTTCGCATTGTAGCGCTCGGCGGGGGGGGGGGGGCGCGCTCTGTGGTCTGCATTCGATTGTCCCGGTTCTCCGCGCGGTGTTTGGCTGGCGGAGTGGGGAACGTACAAATGCCGTCCCTCCGTCTTGCTGACATAAAAAAAAGAATTAATTTGGCCTTCTTGTTTTATCTGAACGGGCCGCGTCTCCGCGCTGTCTCTGGCTCCGCTCTCACGGTGCCGCTGCCAGCAAAATTTGGATCTCCTCGCCCATTATCAGCAATAAAATATCCCAGACTGAATAATGTATGTGGAAGTGACAGCCGGGCCCCTACGGTTTTTGATAATGTGATTCATTCGCGCAGGCGATTTGAAACGTAAGGTGGTTTGAGGAAACGAAAATTTCAATTTTTCCACATAAAAAAAAACCCAAAATGGGCGCTTGTCGAAAGCTGCCTTATAATTTCCTTATGTACAGTATATGGTATTAACCAATTCAGCCCTGTACACCCCCAGCCCCCCCGTGGACCAGAGCAATTGGCAAAAACATTGACAATTAAAATGACAAAGTAACACATAGACAGTGGCGGAACTACCAGGGGTCGCTACTGCGACCGGGCCCCCGGAGTTCCGCCATTTGGAGGGGGCCCAGGACAGGGTGAAGGGGCCCCTGGTAACTGCTGATTACCAGGATATTTATTATCCTGGTAACTGCTAAGGTCAGTCCCGGGACCTCTTCCTCCTGTCCTGGGCCCTACATGCTTAACGCTGCTCCCCTCGCCTTGTTCAGGGCGCAGCGTGAAGTATGATCCAGCCGACGCAGCAGCCAATGAGTGGGAAGCGGTGTTATCCCCGCACCCTCATCACACAGAACGCTGCCGAATAGAGAGCTGCTGCGGACACGAAGGGAGGAGATATAGGGAGCAGGGACTATGAAGGTGACATGGGGTCCGGGAGCGGAAAGCTGGGGACGTGAAGGGGCAGATGAGGGGAAGCTGGGGACATGGAAGAGGAGAGTGTGGGGTCCGGATAATTTTTTTAGGACAAACAAGGTTCTCTTTTAAAGGAGAACTATGGGGTTAAGGCTTTTCCCCATAGTTCTCCTTAGGGTAACGGGAGGACACAAACTAGCGTCCTCACAGGCTCAGTATACCGCAAGCTGTAGCTTGCGGTATACTGAGACGCCGCAGCTGAAGCGGATCCCGACAATTGTGGCGGGAGGCTTCCTTCCATGTTCAGGAGGAACTCCTTCTGGGTTTGGAGGAGCTCAGGGTCGGACTGGGTTCTTTCTGAACCTGGGCTTATCCCTACTTAACAACAGGAACACAGAAACAAGAAATTACATTATAACTACGACATTCCACTAGAAGGAACACTACGTCATATGCCCGCTCCTCAACACTGACATCACTCCATCAAGGCATTTTAATATTTGCATAACTCCTCCCAGGACCCAGCCCACTGCTTACATCAGGGCTGAGTGCTTTGTACTGCTATGTACCACATCCTGCCGGCTCCTCCCACCGGCCGTGATCTGCCACCTGTGTTGCATAGGAATGAGAAGCACAGGGCTTCTTATTCTAGTTCCTATGCAAATTTCTTAAAATAAAATATGTAAAATAAGACAGGAATACTTTTTTTTAAAGGAGAACTATGAGGTGAGTGCTTTTCACTCACCTCATAGTTCTAGCCGACCTGTGACAATGAGACTGTCACAGGTCGGCTCAGTAGATCGGGAGGTGAGCGAACACGTACCGGGTTCGCTCGCCTCTCGATCCTGTCACGGCTCTCTGCCGTGACAGGGGGAGGGGCTGGATTCCCCTCTCCCCGCTCCGATCTGCCAGCGCTGACTGGCGGAACGGACGGGGGAGGGGGCGGGTACAGCTGGCTCTGCCTCTAGATAGGCAGAGCCAGCTGTCACTCACGCAGCTGGGCGGATCCCGTCATCTAAGTCGGGATCCCTTCCGGCTGCGGCGTCTCAGTATACCGCGAGCTGTAGCTCGCGGTATGCTGAGCTAAGGGTAATGGGAGGATGCTAGTATGTGTCCTCCCGTTACCCTAAGGAGAACTATGGGGAAAAACACTGACCCCATAGTTCTCCTTTAATGACACTAATAAGTTGATGGGGAGGGGGGTTGCAGGCACTGCAAAATAAGCAGATTCAATTTCAGCTGTAAAACTATATTCAGTACACCTCAGCTCTTGGCAGACTGTTTGCTGATCTCTTGGCTTGTGCAATTTGTTGGCAGAATTACGACCTGAAGGAATGTTCAATGAAGTGTTCCAGAGCAAGCGGAATAATGCCAAGGGGCACACTAGGGTTGCCACCTGTCCAGGATTGACCCGGACAGTCCGGGTTTTGAATGCTGTGTCCGGGTTTCATGGCAGCAGAAACCCGGACACACGATGTCAAGCAACAGGGGCAACCAAAATTAAGATAGGGGCTGCTAGCCCCCACTGAAAATAGTCTCGACTGTGATATTTACATATGAATGGGTGGCACTATTTACATATGAATAAGCTGCGACTCATTCTCCCACAAAAATGTCTGCGCGTTGCTAGAGTGTTCGGGTTTCGCTTGAAGAAAAGGTGGCAACCCTAGGGCACACAGACATTAACTACACTTCTACATCCTCCTCCTGTGTGTGCAAGACCTAAACCTGGGCACATTCAGATCTGATTGCGTAATCTCTGTTGGATTTCTCCAAGCCAGTGATGGTGAACCTTTTTGAGCCCGAGTGTCCAAATTGGATCACTGAACCAACTTATGATCTCAAAGTGCCAACCCTGCAATTGCAACCTGTGCGGGCTCTACAGGTGGTCTGTACAGGCTCTCGGGGAGCTGTGCGGCTCTCAGGTGTTCTCAGAGGGCTCTCAGGGGGGCTGTGCGGGGGCTCAGGGGGGCTATGCGACTCACAGGTGGGCTCTTAAAGCTGTTAGGTGGTCTGTATGAGCTCTCAGGGGGGACTGCACAGCTCTCGGGGGGTCTATAATGGCCCCAGCGAGCGGCCTCTAATATGTCTGATTAGAGGGCCAACGCTGCCTGATTGAGGCCGGTCCGGATCACATACCAAGGTGATCCAGGACGGTCGAGCATATCTTCTGGAGCGCCCATATGTTAATCCGAACCAGTTGTACCAGCGGTGCAGCAGTGGGGACATCAGACAGTGAACAGTGCTGTAAATTACAGTACCATTACATTAAGCAGTGCCTTCAGGGCAGTTGGTGATGTATGGTACTGGAGTGCTGACGGTCACTGCGCTGGCCGGAGGGAGTCCCCTGTCATCCTCTTAATACAGTATGTTCCTGCAGGCTGATACCATCTCTCCTGCAAGTTCCCCCTCACATGCTACCACCAAACTAGGTCTTATTTTCGGGGTAGGTCTTATATTACAGGAATCTTGAAAAATAGTGCTAGGTCTTACTTTCGGGGTAGGTCTTATTTTCGGGGAAACAGGGTATTTGTATGCCTGCGTGGATACAAATGATGGAAATTGGTTAGGTAGTCCCTCACCTTACCTAAATTTGGTAAATCTAAAGGACCTCAGACCTGCCTAACTGCTAGACCGGACCCTGCAGGCTCTCTCTCCCTCTGCTATAGTAGTAAGAGGTCCTGTGAGTCAGGGGCACCAGACAGGACTGTGGTTTGGGTTATATTATCTCCCTAGACAAAATGAGCACTTAACCCTTGCAGTGGGGGGGGGGGGGGGG